CAGGAGTTGCCCTGATAACGTGAAGCTAACATTAACTTTTTGCTCAGCAGAGAGCTTTGAGGGTCGTTTGTAAAAAAGGTTTATAGAGGATTTCACACAACTTTTGGAGAAAGTTAGTGATCACTTTAGACCATTTGACTTCCAGCAGAACATTTTATTCTCATTAAGGACAAGGAAATATCAACCAACAGCTCAATTAACATGACACAGATTAAACAAGCCCTGTTAAGCATTTTCTACTTAACATGTGAAAAAAGTCTACAGACATCTGATGTGTCCAAACTGTTCACATTAAAACTTGAGCTCATCCTTCAGCATAAGCTCAGCTGATGTTGCTCCTGTGTACAGCAAAAGGTGGAAACGATTTAAGTTACCAGAACAGCTGTGTTTAACAAGTACTGAAGCACTGGAGTTTAGACTGCATTTACTGGTGTGCTATTAGACTGCTTTCCTTGCATCTCTTCAGAGTCTCAGGCAGACTTGCAGAAAGCCACAGCAGAAAAACGAACTTCTCCTTTTTCACGTTCTGTAAATTGTCTGCAGATCTTTGCAGAATCCTTGGCAGAAAAAGAAAAAAAGCTGTTTAGATTATCAGAATACACCTGCTACAGAGACCAAGTCTTTACAGCTCTACTCTGGGTCCCACCAAGTTTTCAACTCCTGCAGCACCAGCTAATAGACAAGGTTATCTAGCTCTGTGGCACAGTACTACCTTGTTACCACTGCGTAAGAAGCACCAACTTGTACAGCAAGCCAGCACAGCTCCTATACACTGAATGCATTGCTCTCACCCTTCTATAAGCCTTGTTTTCAGGGAAACAAGCAACAAGGGAGAAGTCTTACCTTCAACAGCAAGTCGGCTGAGCTTGTGCCATGGTTTACAGGAAACGGCATGCGCCCATCTATGAAAGAAAGCCCTATCACCAAGAGTACTTATTGCTTCTGAATTAGCAGAACTGCGCATAGTGGGACCAAGATACAAGTACACTTGAAGATACCAGGGAGGTCAGAACAAGTCCCTTTGAATGAGAAAGGGACAAAGTACTGCCAGCACTATAGGAGATGATATGCTTTACAAGAGGGCCTGGCCTTCAGTGCAACCCACCTCTAGTTAAAACCTTCAAGTGAAGGTGCAAGTTATTTATTGGCTTTGAGAGCCTCAGCAAACAGCTTAACTAGCACCAAGTTAAGCCCCCAGGGTTGTACAGTGTAAGGTAGGCCCAGTCCAACTGCAGAGTTCTCAGAACCTTACCCAATTCATACAGATGTCCATCCACATTGGCAAACAGGATGAAATGGAAGTTCACACTGTTGTCCTCAACCTTGGGAAAGACCATTAGATACATTTGTTAGATTGTTAAAAGCCAAACATTGCGGACCCTACTTGTAACTACAAGACAGAGGAAATGTCCACAGCAAAGAAACAACAAAGCACTGAAGTTCAACTTGAAGAGGTCTCTGCAAGACCTCTACAAGGTCAAGCACCAGAAATCCTACTGTATGGTCACATTTTCAGTCTAGATCTGAAACCAAATTTTCAGTCCATTTTTGAGGAAGAAACTGCGGCATGAGCATGTGCCCTTAAGTCACTCACTTCTTTCCTCACAAGCTGTAACAGTTATCTGCCACACAAAAATCTGTACTGCTCTACTAGCTTCATTAATTCCACACCCCTCCCCCAGGATTCTACACATTCATCTCTTACCCGACATTGTCCTTCTTGGGCAACAGAATTGTGGACTTCTTGTATAGCCTTAAGAGAAAGCAGACACAAGTTATTACATCCTAAAGTGCTGACAGCTGTCAGAAGTTTATGTAGTTCATGTACCTTATTATTTGCAAAATGTTTTGCTCTCTCTTCAGGAGACAGACCAGCTGTTTCATCAAGAAACTTCTTCAGGACAGACCCCTCATCTGCACAAGATGATCAAAGATTTTATTCAGTATACGTAAAACATCAGTTACAGTTCAGATGCAGCCCACAGTATTCAATGCTTGTTGCATTCAGCCTGGAACTATCCAGCATAAGCATATTGTAACTGCCACTTGAAGCTAGTTATCCAGAAGCTATCAACAACAATCCTACACAAACAGCTGGAGTTTGAGTGCTTCAGGGTACTCCAGTGGCTTTGAATTCACTTTCAAATGGGATTTAGCTTTTCTGACTCCCCCTTTGCAGATTTGGCAGGTGTTTGGTCCTGCTTTGGAGAAAACTCAAGAAAGGTGCCAGCTGCAAGGACACTGAAATATCAACCAACAGAATATGGGTAGCTGAAACTAAGTTGTCTAACTGTCTTCCAATGAATACAGCACTTGCTCATGATGGGCTTACTTTGGTTTTCCAGAACACAAGCTAGTAATGCAGTACTAAGGTGCACAGAGTTCTAATCTTACATGAAAGACATGCTGCATCATTCATGTTGTTCATCAAGAGTGTGTTATTTCAGAGAATCCTTTTCAGAAGAATAAAGCAAAGCTACTCTCATTAAGCCTTCCATAGCTTAGGAAGGAATCCCACATCACCCAGAGGGTTCAATTTCTCTTGGAATAAAGTTATAATTCTCTGGTCTTTGAATAATAAAATGTTTCCTGGACTCTTTTGTGCTTTTGACAAGCACTTGTAATCTTATACCCTAGGAGTTTCCAGCCACAAGTTGCCTAATCCAGTTTTATATCCTCTTCTATAGGAAGAGGACAATCAAACTATTACCTCTGCAAAAAAAAGTCTGCTTTAAGACCTTTATCATCCTGTGTTACTTTGCCAGCAAGAAGAAAGCATGTTTTAGACTAATTCATAGGCTACCCCAAACAAGTTGTTCAAACTAGACATAAGCAGCATGAAAAACTTCAGTTGACATCAATGCTAATGTCAATAGCTACTTCTGAACATGATGCTTCCTAATTACAGTCTTTGGCCAGTCCTATTATGTGTCCTTTTCTCCTGCACTGCTCACTAGGATGATACCTCTGCAGCTGCCAGGCAGGAGTTGAAGTACATTCCCTTCTGTGATTCAGGCAGTAGATGAGACCATATGCCTCTTCAAGGGCTGAAGACTTGCCAACTGAAGCAGTACAGCATGCCTTAGTTTAGCTTGTAAGAAAGCCCCAAGGCCTCCAATAGCCCATACCCACTCAATCTTTCTGTCATATTAAAAAAAAAAAAAAAGATGGAAATTCAAAGCACTTCAGAGCATTCATACTCACCAAGGTTCAGCTTGTCTTTGTTATTAGCAACTGCATGTATCAGACCAATTGTCCCACAGGAGTTGCTGACTGTCTGCTTCAGGAAATACACCTTGGAATTGATTTCTTGGTTCTTTATTTTCTCAGTCTGTTGTTTCCTGAAGTTCTCATGCTGTAAACATGTAACTGTTAAGCATTTCATCACAGGGATATTTTTTATTGTGTGAACTACTAGCAGTAGCTCTGCAGGAGAATCAATACCAGCACTGGACAAAGTTTTATCCAGAAATTCATCACTGCAGCACAGGTCCAGCAAAGCATTTGTCTATACCAGATGCTGGCCAAGTCTTAATGGACTACCTGCATGACTCAGTGATATCTAAAGGCACTGTTCTTAGCCTCTCCATCTGTTCTGTACACCGGAAATGGTTTGGGGTGGGTAATCATATAATGAAGAGACCCTTTTGTATCATCTTTCAATAGTTTTTGTCCATTTAATGAAACTACTTGTCATGTTTTTGCACAGTTTGCCTTTTTACCTTTAGTTTACTTCCCTGTATGAATCCCCCCTGGTAAGAGTAATGGATGAAAAAAAAAAAAGGCGTAAATACCATCACTACTGAAAGGCTATAATCCTTCCTTTAAAGGACCCATTAAATATATTTTGAAATGAAGTCTATCTTATCTACTTCCTTAGTATCGATTGCACTACGTGTATTTATCATACGTAAGTAATTCAGGCCTCTCCAGATGCAATGATTCAGCATTGTAACAGAATTGCTATTTCTCACGCTGAGGACCACTCATGGATTTTTTGCCAGCCCAATATACAAAGTATAAGAGCAGCATTGGAGTAAAAGGCCTTGTTTTGTTGTTCAGCTCATTTTACTTCATACTATTTGGAGGCTGAGGCCAAGCACCCAGTATGTACTGCCTACCACCCACCTACAGCCCTAGTGCAAGGCAAACCCACTCCCAACCATCTGATGCTTGAGAAGATGACACAGGCACACTCTTGACAGCAACCAGCATTACCTGCTGACAACTAGTGGCTACAGACAGCGCTGCTAACAACAGCCTGCCTTTTACTCCAGGGGCATTTGGGCCATACATGGCTTAGTCAGCCTGCTCAGGGAAACAGCAGAAACCCCAAGAGCTACAGCTGTTCCACAGCACTAGGGCAGCCAAAGGCTTGGTGCCTGAACGCAGCCCATTCAGCTGTGGCTGCAGAGGGCCTGTGGGGCAGACGGCCCCGAGACACAGCAACCACCTCCACCGCGGGAAGCACCACCCACCTGCTCCGTGAGGGGGAACAGCAGGAGCAGCGCGCAGGCTGGGGTCGGCACAGCACCAAGCGCCTCCTCTTCGAAGCCCAGCACATCCACGAAGCGCCAGCCGGGACCCACCCCGAGGCGGGACAGCACCTGCACGGGGTACACTGAGCGGGTGGCACGGCCAAGGCATCCTCCCCACCTCGTGTCGTCCGTTCCCCCCCCAACATCTGGGCCCGGCCATTCCCCCCCTCCCGCCGCGCCCCAGTGACACAGCACAACGCGCGGCACCACGGTGCCACCTGCCGGCCGCGCCCGGGTGCTGCCTCAGGCACCACCTGCCCGAGGGGGCGCGCCGGGCGGAAGGCGCAGCCTCAGGGCCGCTCCGCAGGTGCGGCCGCGCCCAGCACAGCAGTGCGGTACCGCTCCGCGCCCGGCGGCCCTGCCCCGCACGGCGGGATGCTGAGGGATGGATGGAGAAGATGCGGCGCGCGCCCGCCGGCGGCGTTCCTGCGACAGGGACTCACTTTGTTCAGCATCTGGAAGACAATGTGAGGAGAGAGGGGTGAGTGCCGGGGAGAGGCGGCGCCCCACCACCCCTCCCGGGCCACAGCCCCCTGCCCCTACCCCGAGCCCCTTCCCCGCCGCCCCTCTCACACCTCAGGATTGATCTCCATCGGCTGCCAGGCCATGGCTGCAGGGTGGCCGGAAGCCGGAAAGAAGCAGGCTGCGCCCCAACCACCACGATGTTCTCCTCAACGCAAGCCCCGGTACTCCCCACCGACGTCGACACAGGCGCAGAGCCCCCCACCCGGCTGTTATATAGGGGCGGGCTGGCCCACTCTACGCCGCGACGGGGGGAGAGGGAGGAGCAGAGCACGACCAAGGCACGGGGGGGGCGGGGGCCGCTGTGCCAGCAGCATCCCGGGCAGGCGCGTGCCCAGCGGAGGGAAGGGCTCGCGGGAGGGGAGTCAGTGTCGGGGAGCCGCGGGGGGTGGAGAGAGCCAGGCCGGGGCAGCGGGAGGGCCGGGCACCGCCCGACCCCGAGTCCTGCTTCCTCCCCCGGAGCGGGCTGTGGCCGGCGATGAGGAGGACCCCGGCCCGCCTTACGTCTGTGTGCAGAACGTGCTAGAAGCGTCGACGTGCGTACGCTTGGCGCGTCCCTGCCCGGCCTGGCCTCTGCCTCCCTCCCTCTCCCCCCGCGGGGCCGGGTCGCTTCGCGCTGCGTTGTGCTGCCAAGGGAGGCGGGTGACAGCCATCACTGGGGGCAACACGTTTCTCCACCATCGTCAGACCAGCCCCACAGCTCTGTTTATCCTTAGAGCATGTGCCTGAGCGCTGCCTAAGTGTTGGGCCCAGGTGTGTGTGCGTATTGCATTAAGTACATGTAGGTTCTGATGTTCAGTATAAGCAACAGATGCTTATTTAAAAAAATTCTGTATGACTGCAAAACTGTCACTGAAGCGACCACGGATTTCATCAGTTTGAACCAACTACTGAACCAGTCCAATGAAGTTGGTTATAAAATGGCATGGAATCCCAGAATGGCTTGGGTTGGAAGGGACCTTAAGGATCATCTGGTTCCAACCCCCCATGCCATGGGCAGGGACACCTTCCAGTAGACCAGGCTGCTCAAAGCCCCATGCAGCCTGGCCTTGAACACTGCCAGGGATGAGGCAGCCACAGCTTCTCACGGCAGCCTGTGCCAGTGTCTCACCACCCTCACAGTAAAGAATTTCTTCCTTGTCTTTAAATCTACCCTATTTCAGTTTAAAGCCACCCCCTCTTGTCACATCCTTACTTGCCCTTGTAAATACTGGGCTTTTTATCTTTTACTCATGACCTGACAGTTTCTCCAAGCAATGTATTTGTACTAGAACACCTTTAAACACTGAAACAAAAACAACCTACTTGAAATACTAGAAATTATATGGAGTCCAAACAGCCTTTCAGATTTTACTGGTAAATAGCCAGATGGGAACTGTGGGGGTTGGAATGTATCAAAGTTGTCAGAGACCATGGGAAGGAAACTACAGCTGGCAATTAAGAGTGACCTGTCCCTGACTGGTACTTGGAAGATGTTGGAACTGGCAAGGAACAAGGACGTCGGAACTGGAAAGAGGATGTTGATAAGAAAATCAGATAGACCTTTCACCTGATGTAACCGCAAGGCAAACACAGATGTGCTTTGCTACTTGCTTGGAAGCATATAAATATCGTGTAATCTTTTCAATAAATGATCCAGCTTGCACTCTACCTCTAGGTCCGTGCCTCCATCCTCACAGGGAACCTTGTGGATAACCAAGAGATGCTTCACTGTTATCTTTTAAATAAGGAAGATACTGAACAAAATAATCAACTGAATGTCTTCAGTCTGTTTGGTTTTTCACCTTGCTTCAGAATGATTTAGACCCCAGTGCAGCAAAATTTCTTAAGTACCTGCCTAATTTCAAACACATTTAAATTAACTTTCCATCTAGTGCACTGTAAGTTAGTGGGAATCATTCAGATCAGGTGGTAGTACACATTTTTGAACTGAGATCTGTTTATCAACCTTGTTCGGTTTACAATGAACTCCTAGGTATAGAAGCTTACAATTTAATCTTTGAAATAAGGGTATAAAAGGTTCAAGACACAGGGTCACATTGGTTCTACATGTAACAAGTGCTAGTGAAGAAAAAACAGGATAGCAAGGAGGGGTTTGTATTTTATGGGAAATCTCTGATGTTTCCAGACAGGTAAAGCCTTGAGCAACCTAGGCTGATATTGTAGCTGATCATGCTTTCAGCAGGAGGTTGGTCTAGAAACATCCTGAGAGTCCTTCCAACCTGAAGTATCCTGTGATTCAGTCTATCACAGTAAAAGGAAGAACAGTACACACTGCTCAAAACCAAAGAGTTTTGGAGAGGACGGGGAGAAGGTTCACAGTAAACAATAGTATCATCTATTTCTGGTTTTACCCCTTATATTTTAGCTGAAAAGAGCCATTGGTACCTGTACGAAAGCTAAAATGGACCAGAATAAGAATGTTTATTCTTTATATAGTATCTTTGGCTATCTTTCCTTTATATGATCAACTCTTCATGCACTGTAAGATGCAAGTATGGCAAAACAATTGAATAGGCAGTATGTGCTAATGGTCCCTGATATATATGTAGGAGAGACTGCATGCAGCTTCTCTAAGAGGCTGGCAAAACACACATCTTGCAACCTACAAAACAGAAGGCTAAAAATGGCAATAAAAATCCTATTTCTGAATTTTCTCAGTGGCAAATGGTGGTTGTAACTTCAGTCTGCCTCAGAGCAGTGGCAGTGCTCAGATCCCAGGTTACGGAGCCTGAGCTCCCATGCTCAGGCTATTGGAGACTGCAAACAGCTTGTGCAAATGCTTCAGCCTCTCCGTGCCATGAGCAGCATACAGGGACCACAAGCAGGAGTGATCGTTTCTAAGGGATAATACCCCAAATCTGTCAATATATTAATTTTAGTAAGCAGTTAGTATAACAAGATAAACCTGCTAAAAATCTACCACCATTGCTAAAGATGCCTGCCTCTGGAAAGCCACATAAAAAGTCAGTGCTATCCAGTCATATCCAGTCCCCATCTAACTTCTTGCAAAGACAAAGTCTCTGGACCATCTTTCTTCAGTGCAGGTAGATACACCTAGCACATTTAACCCTATACACTCCCACTACTACAATAAGGAGGAACTAGACTTGCAAGTAAGGGCTGTTTCTGCGTTCAGAAGATTTAACAGAAGTACCTATGACAAGCAGAGTGGTGAAGGAGACAAAGCTGGCCTTAATCCAGGGCTCCTGAAGTGGAAGCTGAGCACAGTGCCATATGCTTTGGGATATCCCTTGGTCAGTTGGGATCAGCTTGTCATGGCTGTGTCCTCCTAACTTCTTGTGCAACCTAGCCTACTGCTGCAGGGACAGTGTGAGGAAACAGAGAAAGCCTTGATGATGTGCAAGCCCTGCTCAGCAATAGCTAAAACATGGGTGTGTTATCAGCACTGTTTTGGTCACAGGTCCAAAACACAGCACCATGCCAGCTGCTGTGGAGAATACTAACTCCATCCCAGCCAGAACGTGTACACTGGTACCAAATATAAAAATCAACACTGGTATAAGGTACCAAACTTAAAAATCAACAAACATATCTGAGGCCACTGCAGGGTCAGCAGGCATCAGGGATCTGTGTAAGGCAGTAACATCCCCCTTCTCTCCTGGTAAATTGTCTGGAGCACAGAGTAATTCCTGCCCTATCCTTTATTAGAAGATCATAGGGATCAAAACAGCAAGCATAAAGACTTCTTTTGTAAAGGGCGTGGGTCCATGAAAGCTTTGAGCAAGAAGAGAGGTGTGTGTGTATTTCTGAATTGCAGCCAGGATAATTTAAATGCTTCTGTGAGGAGCCTTGGTGACTGTAGCCCAGTGCTGTGTGACAATGTAAGTCCAGTCACACCTTGGCACCTGGCTGCTAGGAACTCTGCCAGGAGCTCTGGGCTAAAATGTCTCAAACGTCAAGCAGGAGTAGGACTGGGAAGTGAAAGAAATTCAGAGCAGATCAGACCTGAGTTGGGAATGGGGGAAAAACCCCAAATCTTTACTTACTGTAAAGGCTGGAAAACCTAGGTTCTCCCATCTCCCCTGCAAGAGGGGATATTCTGGCTAGGACTAAGGACTTCTGAGGTGGATACATGCTGAAGGATGTTACCTCTGGGTCTGACCTATGATGAAGCTCAGTGGGAGAGAGGTAACTCTGAAGTTATGCACATGAAAGTGGGCTTGCTCTGCCAAGCACTGTCTTTGTGTGTATTGACTTCCAGCAGTTACTCTGCAATTGCTCTGAACTACAGCTAAGTCTTCCAGCACAAACCCAAACTCTACAGAATACTCTTCTGGAGGTCTGTAGGTGTTAAATGGAAGTAGCTTTGAAGGCCTGCCTTGAGAGTCTTGGTTCTGGAGAGTGCAGCCATGGTTTTCTTGAATTCAGATCTGACTGGCAGGATGCTTAAGATTCTTCACCTTGTTCCTCTGCAAAAATGGTGCCCACCACATGGTGATGGTGTGTATCAGAGGCACAGTCATAGTATGCTTTGTTTCATGGCAAAAGTAGGACAAAGAGTGACTCCTTTTTCCTTCCACAAAGAAAGGCAGGATGGACATGACTGTTGTCAAGAGTTTCCTATGAAGAGTGGGGTTGATTGAAGAATAGGGTGGATTGAAGAATGGGGTTGATTGAAGAATAGGGTTGTAAGTAAGTAACCTCAAGAACGTTAGGCTTATTTAGGATGCAAAATAACAGGAGGACAACCAGAACTTGGAGCAGCTAAGGAGGAAGCAATCTGCCAAACACCGTGACCATCCACAGTTAAAGATATCCGGACATTTCTGGGAATGACAGGATGGTGTCAACTCTGGATCCATGACTATGGTGTTCTGGAAACCCCTACCAAACCGTTGACTCATGATTGCTTGGCCACTATAGAGACAGTATATTCGAACTGACCAGATCTGAAGGAGGAGCCTCTGGAAGGTGCAGATTTCTGGTTCACTGATG